TGCTGCTGCTGCGGAAGCGGCTGCTGCTGGGACTGCTGCTCCTGCGGGTCTAGCTGCTGCTGCTGCTGCTGCTGCTCCTGCGGCTCCAGCTGCTGCTGCTGCTCCTCCAGCCGCTGTAACTCCCTCTCCTCTCTCTCCAACGCCAGCTGCTCGTCACGGGCACGGCGAACACGAGCCTGGTGCCTAGTCGGGTAGGGGTGGGGGGGCGGAGTAGTGTCCGAAGCAGCGGTAGCTCCAGAGTCCACCCCCGAAGAACCAGGCGCACCACCCCCAGAGGCAGCACTAACACCAGCTCCAGACCCAGGCTCGCCAGAACCCGAAGGAGGCGCACTCTCACCCCCAGTGTCCGCGCGACCAGCACCAGCTCCCGGACGACAAGAGTCCTCTGCACCCACCGGGTCAGCTCCAACTCCAGAACCAGAAACTCCAGCTCCAACTCCAGCTCCAACCCCAGCACCCCCAGAACCAGAAACTCCAGTGCCAACTCCAGCTCCAACTCCAGCTCCAACTCCAGCTCCAACTCCACCACCCCCAGAACCAGAAACCGGTACAGGAAGAGGCGCAGCACCAACCTCTCGAGAGCTAGCACCTGCGGCACGCTGCGAGGAGGACTGTGGGGAGGGAGGCTGTACCGGAGAGGCTACCGAAGGAGGAGGGGTAGCCTGGGACACACCCGACGGGGCTGGACTAGGGGGGGGAGGCTGTACCGGGGGAACAGGAGGGGGAGCGGCAGTCAGGAAGAGGGGGGGAGGAGGAACCTGGAGACCTCGACTGGGGTACCTGACGTAGTACGGAGTGGACTCCTCGAAACGGACGTCACGGGAGTCAAAGAACCGGTGAGAGGGAGGGTGGTAAAAGGTGAAGTCAGAGGAGTCCTCAGGGAAACCAAGGAAGACACAGGGGACGGCACGAGGCGAGAGCTTGTCCGCGGAGGTGTCGCGGACAAGAGCCAAGCACCCCCAGACACGAAACCGCGACGCAACACCAGGGGACCCTGTCCAAAGACTGGTCGGTGAAACCTCTGGTCGAGAGACACGTGGCAAGAGGTTCAGCTGGTGCGCGGCGTACCTGACCGCGTAGGGCCACAGAAAATGGGGGGCACAGGCGTGAGTCAGGGAGGTGCGGGCGATCTCCATGACCAGGCCTATGCGGCGCTCAGCAACCCCATTCTGCTGTGGGGACTCTGGAAGCGTCCAGGACTAACGAATGCCCTGCTCGCGACAGAATCCAGCGAGAATGCCGGAGCGAAACTCACCCCCACGGTCGGAGTGGAGGCAGCTGACACGACAACCACGAGTGTCCTCGGTGGTGAGCAACCACCTGATCAGCGTAGAAGTCACCTCAGACTTCTTCGCCAGAGGGAACACTGTGGTGTAGCGGGAGAAGTCGTCAACGACCACCAGAAAGTAGCGCTCACGCTCAGGGCCTAGACGAGGGGCGGGGCCCCAGACGTCCAAGTGAAGCGTCTCAAAAGGCTCGGTGGCTGGACGAAGGGAGGAGGAGTGAGGGGCGGCGCGCAGCCGACCCTCGACGCAGGGACCACACGGCGGCGCAAGCGAAGGCGGCAGCGACGGCAAGACACGTGGGAGGCCTAGGACAAGACGCTGACTAGACATAGCGCGCAGACGAGGAAGGGACGGGTGCCCCATCCGGTGGTGCCACAGAACGGTGGGGTGGGCAAGCGACCGGCAGGAGCACGACGCAGCGACTGGAGCAGACGTAGGAACCTGACACGACAAAGAGACCTGGGGGGACGAAGCAACCTGGTGAGACGCGGGGACCCGAACGGGGGGGGTGTGAAACAATGAGAAGAGGAATGGAATGACTAAGTCACAAATTGGTACAAATAGCAAACCCTAGGAATCTGTACCCCATATGTGCTACCCCACTATAGCCTACAAACATGTATGAGCTATAATGTTCTGACACACCCCCATAGGCAAAGTGGGGAGAACAAGGGGTCACAAGACCAGTCAAGCAAAGCAAAGCAAGCTCAGGGTGGATCACAAAGTCACCACACAGTCCGAGCACAAGAGCAGGGCCAGAGGCCAGTTCACATGCAGGAGTACAGACATATATATAATACTAGACAAGTAAGAGCAGGTATATATATATGTCACAGTACAAGTGAAGTCAGGAAGAGAGCAAGTGAGGCAAGACAGGCACAAGACCCAGCTGGGTACAGAAGCGCTGATGGTCACAAGGCGCGAGTGCCTTGGTGAACACATCAGCAGTGTTGGCCTCAGAGGCCACGTACGCAAGTCGCAGCTGACCACGCTGCTGCAGCTCACGAGCAAGGAAGTAGCGGAGAGCAATGTGCTTCGTTCTGTGCTCCAGACGCTGCTCTCGACACAAGGCCAGCATGGCCTTGTTGTCTACGTACAGCACTGGAGGAGAACGAGGCGGCTCTCCAAGGTCAGTCAGCAGGTAGGTGAGCCAGCGAAGCTCCTGTGCAGCCATGGCCCCGGCGTAGATCTCAGCCTCACAACTGGAGCCGAGAACCGAAGACGAGCGAGTAGACCGCCACGAGACAGAGCCGGAACCAAGGCTGAAGGTGTAACCCTGTGACGACCGCTGCGTAGCCTGGTCGTCAGCCCAAGAAGCGTCCGCGTGGCCCGTAAGGACCACTGGACTCCGCCCTCCAAGCACTAGCCCCATGCCCGACGTACTAGCACAGGTAGCGCAATACCCTCTTCGCTGCAGCCATGTGCTCAGGTCGGTGTCTCCCAGGAGCAACATAGCGTGCAAGGATGCTCAGAGGGTATGCAAGGTCAGGTCGTGTGCAGGTCATCAGGTACATGAGGCAGCCAACAAGCTCTGCATACGGGCCACTCGACTCTACGGAACTCATCCAAAGGCAGAGCTGAGAGCGAGTGGCGAGTAGGCAGAGGAGTGGCCTGAGGCGAGGAGTACGTGAAGCCGAAGCGCTGAAGGACCTGCTGCACCATGTGTGACTGAGTCAGGGTAATGGTGCGGCGTGCTCTGTCCCGAGTGATCTGCAAGCCAAGGTAGCTGCGCAGTTCACCCAGGTCTGTGCACGTGTGTCTCTTCAGCAGCTCGGACTTCACGTAGGCGAGTCCAGCAGTGTCCGCTGTGGCAAAGACCAAGTCGTCGACGTACACGAGGATGTAGAACGGCGGCAAGGAAGTGTCGGTGCGAAGAAACAGCGACGGGTCAGCAGTGGAAGGAGCAAACCCAAGAGCCGCAAGCGTAGTCCTCAGTGTGTCGTGCCACCCACGCGGTGCCTGGCGGAGACCGTAGACTGGCCGTCGGAGGCTCCACTGGGTGCCAGGAGGGAAAGTCCCAGTGAAGCCAGGCGGACGGCGCAGCCAGATCTCCTCGTGCAGGCTACCCTGCAGGAACGCAGTGCTGAAGTCGAGAGAGTGAAGCTCGTAGTCGCGCTGAGCGGCAACGTGCAGCAGCACCCGAAGAGTGGTCATCTTCGGAGTGGAAGAGAAGGTCTGAAAGTAGTCAACTCCCTGCCGCTGACTGAAGCCACGAGCGACGTAACGCGCCTTGAAGACAAGCGGAGAGCCCGGCGGCCGCTTCACCCTGAAGATCCACATGCCACTGACGATGTTCGCCCCAGGAGGGGGAACTGCGTCAACGTAGGTGCCTGTGGACTTCCAGGAAGCCATCTCTGCATCCATAGCTGCCTGCCACTCAGAGGAGTAGGGACCCTCTACAGCCTCCGCGTAAGAACGCGGAGTCGGGATGTCTAGTGCATCCGGGTCTCCCTCAGGGGCAAGCAGTACAGACGCGAGATGAGGTGAAGCAGCCGCTAGACACTGTAACTCCTCCTGCCTGTCCTCTAGGACGTCCGTGCCAAGAGCACACTCACCCCCGACGGACGGAGGACAGACAGACGCAGACTCAGCAACAAGACTAGCAGCGTAGTCGAGACGACAGCGAGCAGCAAAGTCAACGAGCTCAGCGACTAGAGCAGACGCAGCAGTGGACTCAAAAGAGGGGTCAGTGACGACAGTAGCAAGCAGACGCGTGACAGTAGGACTCGCAGCGCGAAGAGAGTCCGACTCAGGGTCGGCAAGCGCAGGAAGAGAGGACTCAGGAGGAGAAGGGAAAGGGGCACGCAGAGGAGCAGTGGACGGACGCAGAGACATCCAGGTGCGTGCCAGGGACAGGAGGAGGACGCTGACGCGAACTGCGACCACTAGCGCGAGCAGCACGAACAGGCGACGCGGGACGAGACGCAGGCTCACGACGCTCAGCAAGACCTCCAGTAGGACCAGTGTAAGGAGAGGGAGCAGGCAGTGGAGAGGAAGGCTCCAGCAGGGACTGCGACTGGACAGGCGGTGGACCCTCTACTGGAGGAGAAAGACCAAGAACCTGCTGCAGGAGCGGAACGAAGTACGGCCGAGGCCGCGCGGCAGCTCCAGACTCAGCAGGGACAGCACCAGCACCCTCAGCGACAGCACCAGCGCCACCCACACCTCCAGCGGCAGGACCAACAGCAGCAGGCGCAGCACGAACGCCCTCAGCAGCTCCAGCTCCAGGAGGACCCGCAGGTCCAGCAGCTCCGGGACCGGCAGCATCCGCACCCTCGACGGTCGAAGAAGCTCCAGCCCCAGCTCCAGCAGCACCTCCAGACTCAGCAGCACGCCTCCAGCGGCGAGCGAACCACTCGCGCAGCTCCTGTGGAGAGAGGGGCTCCCGGCTAGACGCAGCAGCAGGAGAAACCCCAGGCTCAGCAGCTCCAGACGCAGCACCCCCAGGCTCAGCAGCTCCCAGCTCAGCACCCCCAGGCTCAGCAGCTCCCGACCCAGCACCCCCAGACCCAGCACCTCCAGGCACAGCACCCCCCGGCTCAGCACCCCCAGGCTCCGCACCCACCGCAGTAGCACCCTCAGGCCCAGCACCCCCAGCAGTAGCACCCCCAGGCTCAGCACCCCCGCGCACAGTACCCCCAGAGTCAGCACCCCCAGGCTCAGCACCCGCAGCAGCACCAGAGTCACCAGTAACCTCGACCGGGTCAACGGCGTCTACCTGGGACACACCTGAGGGGGCAGGAACCTGAGGGGGGAGGGGGTCTACCGGGGGGGGAACCGGCACAAGGAAGTCCGGGGGAGGGGGGAGGGAAGGAGTGCGGTAGGGGAAGAGACGGTAGAAGGGGACCGACTCGTCGAACGTGACGTCCTGGGAGGACAGAACACGACGAGAGGAGGGGTGGTAGAACTGCCACCCTGGGGCGTCAGTGGGGAAGCCAAGGAAGACACAGGGAGCAGCACGAGGGGACAGCTTGTCCGCAGACAAGTCGCGGACAAACGCCCGAGATCCCCAGACACGAAACACAGACGCATCGCCAACCTTCCCCGTCCACAGCAAGGCTGGGGACATCGCAGGCCTAGAGACCCGCCGGTGAAGGTTGAGCTGATGCGCCGCGTACCTCACCGCAAACGGCCACAGAAAATGGGGGGCAGCCGCATGCATCATGGACGTACGAGCGACATCCATGACCATGCCAATGCGGCGCTCAGCAATCCCATTTTGCTGTGGTGAGTCCGGAAGCGTGAAGGTCTGGCGGATCCCCCGTGCACGACAGTAGTCTCGCAGAAGGCGAGAGGAGAACTCTCCGCCTCTGTCCGAGTGCAGACGCAGAACAGGAAAGTCAGAGCCGAAGCTCTTCCTGAGCTGGAGACGAGCCTCGCGGATCCAGTCGATCAGCACCTCAGTGACAGCACCCTTGCTGCGCAAGGGGAGGACTGTGGTGTAACGCGAGTAGTCGTCAACCACCAACAGGAAGTAGCGCTCGTAACCCTGCCCACGGACGGGGGCCGGGCCCCACACATCCATGTGAAGCGTCTGCAGCGGAGCCTCTGTCGGGGGGAAGTGGGAGGAGTGAGGAGTAGCCCGGAGGCGACCCTCGACACAGGGGACACAGGAAGGCCCTGGCCCGGGGGGGGGGAGGAGGGAGAGACCGGGGAAGACCAGAGACAAGGACACGGGAAGCCATGCTCCGAAGACGAGCCAAGGAGGGGTGGCCTAGACGGTGGTGCCACAGGAGAGTCTCGTGAGACAGGAGGCGACAGGAACAGGGGGCAGACTCAGGACCTGACCGGGACGCAGCAGCAAACACCTGACCTGACGTAGCTACCCGACCAGACACAGGGACAGGAGGAGACGAAGTGGTCAGGGTGTAGAGACTCGACCCCGGCCGACGCGAAAAGGTGGCCAGGTGTCGGCCTGTGTCTGCGTCCGTGCAGTGGGTCACCCGCCGCCTCGCAGGAGTGAACTGGTGAACCCCTGCATCCTGTAGGTCCGCACCACTCACCAAGTTCGTAGAGAACGAGGGAAGGTACAGACCAGACAGGGTGCCCGAAGGGGCAGCCGGACACGGGAGGACAGTGGAGAAGTGAGACAGGACAGGACCCCCAGAGGGGTCAGCAAGGGAGACCGCAACCGGTCGGCCAAGCGGCGTGAGGGTAGTGCGGTCTCGAAAGAAGGAGCGAGAAGCCCCAGAGTCAAGTGTGAAAGTGAGGGAGGACGAGGGCGACGCAGTACCTGAGAGCGCAGTCTCACCAGCACCTGAGAGCGCAGTCTCACTAGTACCTGAGAGCGCAGACGCACTGGCACCTAGAGCAGCAGCCTCACAAGTACCTAGTGCAGCAGTACCAATGCCCGGGTCGGGCTGGAAACACCGGTAACCCTCATTCTCCTCACTATAAGTCACAGCATACATAGCAGAAAGGATAGCATCAAAATCAAGATCAAAGATCGCTACACCAGCCCTAAGGAGCTCATCCCAGCGAGGGATCTCACTAGCCCCGGGGAACTGCTGACGCCAAGCGTCCGTCAGGCGGCCAAAGCAGCGCTGGGTGGAGTGGGCACCCCCACACTGCTCACACCGCGCGGTCGCCGGAACGAAGAACGTAGGCGCAGGGACCAGTACCCCCACTCCCTCCGCCGCCCCCGCCGCCACCGCCACCGCCCCCTCCAGCTCCGCCCACGCCCTTGCCCCCCTTGCCCTTGCCAGAGCGACGTCTCCCACTAGGGGCAGACGCCGCGCCGACCGACTCAAGACCAAGCAGGTCGGCCGCAGCAGCAGAGGCAACAGAGGGCAGCAAGGGGGAAGGAGAGCACCCCTCAAAGATGGGGGTGCGAGGGTCACCACGAGAGGCACCTACAGCGACTATGCTCTTCTCCGCTGCGAGGAGGGCCTTCTCGAGGAGGTCGACGGTGAGAGTGGTGGGACAGACCGCGAGAAAGTGGTCCCTGACTACGCGGAGGGAGTCAGGGAGGCGCGCGACTACGTAGTAGAGAGTGATGTACATGGGGGGGGGGTTCTTAGCGCAGAACTCAGCAGGAAGGGCGGCGCGGTAGCGAGTGTCACTAGTGCGGAGGTGCGTAATGAGGTCAGCGACAGTGGGAAAGGCAGAGAGGTCAGGAAAGAGGTAGGGAAGCATGAGACGGCTCAGTGCAGCAGTGGCAGGAGAGGAGTAGCGCGCAACTACAGCGTCGTACAAGGTCTGAGCACTCTTGTACTGACTAAAATGCGCACGCTCAGAGGTAGGGAGGTGGCGACGCACAGCAAGACGTGCAGCAGCATCGCGGGTGGCCCACTGAGAGCGGACAGTGGGATCAGCATCGGCAGCAGGAGCAGGAGAGGCGCCAGAGGTGAGGTCAAAGAGAGAAAGGCTGTCAGCTCTGTCGCACTGTAAGAAAAGCTGCAGGTCATCTAGCCAGACCTCAAAATCAATGGCGCGACCCTCGGCGTCAAAGGTTAGGACACTAGGGGTGGCCATGATGACGACAGCGAAGCAGTGCAAGCAGTAGGGAAAGAGGGCGCAGTGACAGAGGGACTGTGCTCACCAGGCAGGGCAGGCCGTGCAGCTCGACAGAAAAGCAGAGCGGCGACCGGGCGGCTCGGGTGTACAGCTGCTCAGCTCCCGGGCGGCTCGGCGGCAGGGCGGCTCGGGTGCAGGGCGGCTCGGCTCCCGGGCGGCTCGGCGACGGACGGCTCGGGTGCAGGGCGACTCGGCTCCCGGGCGGCTCGGCGACTGGGCGGCTCGGCTGCCCGGCCGCCCGACTGCTGCAGGTGAGGCGGCGGGGTCGCGTGAGAGAACCGGGGCGGGGCCGCGAAGGGGCCGGCGGTAGGGCCGCGTAGGAGCCGGGGCAGGGCCGCGTTGGAGCCGGCGGCAGGGCCGGCGGTAGGGCCGGCGTAGGAGCCGGGGCAGGGCCGCGTTGGAGCCGGCGGCAGGGCCGCGTAGGGGTCGGCGCAGGGCCGAGCAGAGGCCGGCGGCAGGGCCGCGTAAGGAGCCGGCGGACAGGGCCGTGAAGGAGCCGGGACGGGGCCGCGTGAGAGCCGGCGCGGGGCCGAGTAGGAGCCGGCGGCGGGGCCGCGTAGGAGCCGGGGCAGGGCCGCGTAGGAGGCCGGCGCGGGGCCGCGTAAGGGGGGCCGGCGGCGGGGCCGCGTAAGGGGCCGACGCGGGGCCGCGTAAGGGGCCGGCGGACAGGGCCGCGTAGGAGCCGGGGCGGGGCCGCAATGGAGCCGGTGGCGGGGCCGCAATGGAGCCGGTGGCGGGGCCGCGTAAGGGCCGGTGCGGGGCCGAGTAGGAGCCGGGGACGGGGCCGCGTAGGAGCCGGCGCGGGGCTGCTTAGGAGCCGGCGCGGGGCCGCGTAAGGGCCGCGTAAGGGGCCGGCGCGGGGCCGCGTAAGGAGCAGGGCGGGGCCGCGACAGAGTGGGCGGCGAGGCCGTAGGGGAGAGGGCGACTCGAGGGGTCGCTAAAAAAAAAAACCGCGCCTCGGGGCGCGCTTCGGTGGGCCCAAAAAAATCGGTCCTGGAGGGACCTAGCTCTATACCATGTGAAACAATGAGAAGAGGAATGGAATGACTAAGTCACAAATTGGTACAAATAGCAAACCCTAGGAATCTGTACCCCATATGTGCTACCCCACTATAGCCTACAAACATGTATGAGCTATAATGTTCTGACAGGGGGGAACCGGGGGCAGTGGCAGTAGGGGCGGCTGCTGGTGCGACCGCCGGTGCAGCTGCTGCTGCTGCTGCTGCTGCGGCTGCGGCTGCTGCTGCTGCGGCTGCTGCTGCGGCGCACGCGGGCCAGTGTGAAGAGTGTAGAGACCTGAGCCCGGCTCAGCAGTAAAGGTAGCAAGAGGCTGGTAAGATTCTCCGTCAACACACACCACAGTCTCTCCAGAAGGCTCAAACCACACACCCACGTGCTGACTCACGAGGGGTCGCACGCCCACCAAGTTCCGGGAGAACGAGGGGACGTGAAACCCAGTGAGAGACCCGGAGGGAGCAGCAGGACACGGTAAAGTGGTAGTGTGACGTGCAGTGACTGGTCCCGTAGTGGGATCAGCCAAAGCCACAGAAACAGGCGCAGGAAGTGGTGTAAGTGTCGTGCTGTCCCGGAAGAAGCAGTGTGAGGCTCCAGAGTCCAGCGTGAACGACAGCGAAGCGTCCTCTGAGGTAGTCGCTGGTCTAGAGTCTACAGAAGAACCTACACTAGCAACAGACAACTGAGCAAGACTAGCACCTAAGCTAACAAAACCAGAGTAAACAGAGTCAGAAACACTAGAGTCAACAACAGCAAACATAGCATGAGGAGCACCAATCAGATCAACTAACTGCTCAGCAGACATGCCCCACAGAGCGGAGCCGTAGCGCTGAACCAGAGGAAGCCAGTCAAGAGCAGGACCGCCAACCCCGTAGGCCAACCGGACCGTGTCAGTGAGCTGAGCAAAGCACTGACCAGGGGGGTGAAAGCGGCCACAAGGGTGGCCCCGACGAGGACCTGTCAGAACCTGATAGGTGCAGGGAGGGTAAGAAGCACCGCGCTGGGGCTGACGCAGCCCTGACCCCGGAGCCAGCTGCTGACGCTGCTGCTGCTGAGGCTGGCGGGAGGAAAGGGGCTGCTGCTGACGCTGAGCCTGGTACCACGCCGCTGCTCCACCTAGCGGGGTCGGCAGTACAGGAGGCGACTGACGAGCTCGGGGGTCGCCGCCACCAGCAGGCGCAGTGGAGTCACCAGCCGCTGCACGAGGGGTCTCTCCAGACGCTGCACTCCCACCACCGCCAGTCGCAACAGCACCCCCACTACCTCCGCTACCTCCACCTCCACCTCCACCAGAACTACCTTTCTTGCCCCCCTTAACGCGGGACCGCGACGCAGTCGTAACAGCAGCCGCAGTCGCGTCAGTAGCGGCAGTGGCGAGAGAGGCAGTGAAGGTGGGTAACTGCGGGACTGTGCACCCGTGGAAGAGTGGGTTATGGGCCCACTCTTGACAGTCCTAAGCACAAGATGGATTAAACAGGATCGAACAGACAAGGTTCATAGACCAATTAGGTACCTCCCATTTTTAACAAAGAGAGGGGCCTTCGACAAACAGACGCCGGTTATCAATTTTATACCTAGAAAGCAATTATAGAAACAAGCAGAATCCACAGTATAAGTATAATACAGGTTCCTCCCCATTTGTTGAGAAGGTGATTTTTACAGACAATGGTTTCTGGAAAAGCATTCACAAGAACGATAGGAAGCATAAAAATGAAGCAACTAGCAAAAGAACTTGACGTTTAGACAAGCAAATGCGCTTGAGATGCACACTCAAGGAGGCATACGGTATTTGGAGAAAAGTTTCAGGGGAAAGGGGACATGCAGAGAGTCCAGTCTGACTGCATGCATGCAAATGATGGGCAAGCAGAGGAGGCAATTCAGTTGTGCCCTATTCCCCCCCGTCCCCAGGCAAAGGTCTAGGGTTTCGCTTGCTTGTTGTTTCGTGCTCCCCTTGTTTCGCTTTCTGCCATCGGGATCTTTCTTCGTTCTGCACGTGCGAAAGCATTTAGAGCATCTCTCCAGACCATGCTTCCCATCGGGTACACGTGGCAATCCTATTGGGTATTTCTGGTAAATGTACAATCACATCACAGCTTCAATGGAATCGCACTATACTTGAGAGATACATCTCACAGAAGGCATTTGTCAGAAACCCAACGACAAGAAGCATCTTATGCGAGCTCACAAGTGCTCGTCAACCCACACTTGGATGAGATGCTCGGGGGGTGCAACCCCGGCAAAGGTATGGACAGCAGTGCCATTCTTGAAGAAAATAATCGAAGGTGTAGTATGTGCACCGTACTTCTGGCCCAAGTCGGGATACTCATAGGCGTCCACCACATAGAATTTGACAGCTTCGCTCCTATGTTGGTGTCTCCTCGCGATGCTGTTAATACTCTGACCAAGCGCTTCGGACTGGGAATCGGTACTCAAGAAGCCCACCACGATTAATTGCGGAGCACGCAGAACGCGATGCTGGAAGTTGTCATCCGTCACCAGATCTACGAACTCAGACCTGGCGAAAGCCATCGATCGACTGTAATCTGAATGACAAAATGTGAAAACAGAAATGCGCGTGTGAAACGCCACGAACGCGCACACCACGGGCTGGTGTGACTGGGTACTAGGCTACGCACAGATCGAGAGCAGGGCAGGACACATGTGAGAGGGAAGACCTTTACAGTCCATCACATTCCTTCACTGTCACGCATTGCATACGAACGACGTGGTAGTCAATGCCACTGCAGATGGGTAGGAATGGGACTGCAGGTTGTTTCACAGAAGTCCATCGTAAGTTCCCCTCCATTGCCCTAAAAAAACTGCTCTCTATCCGTCAAGAATGCCAGCACATCACCACCAGAAAAGCTCGGCGCTTTGATGACTAGAGAGAAATTGCACAAGGAGCACCAAAACAAGTTTCAGAGGACGACGATAGCGAAACTGGTCCACTGCTGCCACACTTGGCAAGATTTCCTTCTCCACGCGGTGCGCACCCGCGAGGCTGTGCCTTGTCGGCTAGATGTCAAGTCAAGAGTCAAGATACCACCGTCGAAGGTACACACGATGCCCGGTTGAGCCCCCCGACCTTGCCTTACCCTCTGGGCGTATAAACGATTACTGCATTTCGCGGAGGTTTCGTCAATTCGTTTCGGGCAAAAAGGGCTTATAAAAAGATTTGTAACTCACCGTTGACTTTTTGACTGCATTCTCTTCAGTCAGACTTCAGTTTCTGTGGTTCGTATTGGCTGACGTGCCTGTAACGTGGGTGCAGCCTCACGGCACAAAACCCCACGGGTGCAAGGTTTCCATCAGTTGCGAGGCAATCTCGCGTGCAGGGGGATGATGTGTAGGAACTACTGTCCCGTTAGTACACATGACGAGGAGATTCACAGACCCTCAAAGGATTCATTGTTATAAAATATGTATTTCGAGTAAAAAATATGTATAAAATGGAGTGCATCATGAGTGTGAATAAAATATGTATAAAATAGAGTGGAGTGCATTTTATGAAAACTGAGTGAAGTGCATTTTCATTCCCGCCACCGAAGGGGTGATTTGACATCAATGTCATTCTTTATTCATATTCTGACATTAGGTGATTGAATAAAACATACTTTACAATGTAGTACAGAGTATACGGTACGGACTCTTCCGTTATTAGTTGAGCAGGATGTTACAGACGATGGCTCCTGTGAACCATTCACAAAGGGATAGGAAGGAGAACATACAAGCGGGCAAGACCAATTATTCCAAACAAAGGCACATGCACTTCCGAGCATTTTGATCAAAATTCGAAGGAGGAAGGATATGTTGCCAAGACATGCATGCGAGTGAATGTGCTGACAGAGGAGCCATCAGTGCTGACCTGCCCCCACACTCCAGTTCTAATCTGACCACACACTGACCTGCCCCAGTCTAGCTGTTGGCGCATTGCTGCAGTCAGA